AAATGAAGAACAGATATGTAAAGTGTGGCATGTCTATACAATGGCATATTATTCAGCCACAAAGAGGAATGATATACTGGTACATGCCACAACATGGATGAACTTCAAAGACATTATGCTAAGTAAAAGAAGCTCATCACAAAAGACCACAGTCACATTATTCCATGTATATGCAATGTCCAGAACAAGCAAATCTATAAAGACAAAGTACATTAATATTTGCCTAAAGCCAAAGTAAAAAGGAGTGAATTAGAGTGAGTGCTAAGGGGCAGGGACTTTCTCTACAGTTTGGGGTGGGTGGCAGGAGGTGAAAATATTGTAAGTTAGATTGTAGTAATTTTTACACAATCCTGTGAATATACTAAAAAAAACCCTGGAATTATATACTTTAAGTGAGTTGAGTTGTGTGGTGTGTGAATTATATATCACTAAAGTGTTTTTCAAAAAGCAGAAGGGAGACCTGAACAATTATCTTGGTTTAGATTTCTTACTTGGAAGCACAATAATTTACTGACTTTTCAACACAAATCAAATTCACTAGAAAAATAACTTCAAACCCTAATTTTTTTTGATAATGTAATTCCTGTATATATTCCAAAACTATATTTTATTGGAATATGGTTGATATACAATATTATATTTGTTTCAGATGTACAACATAGTGATTTGATAATTACATACATTACTGAATACTCATTATGATAAGTGAAGTTACCCTGTTACTATATCATGATATTCCAATATTATTGGTTATGTATTTTATGCTGTACTTCTGTTCCTGTGACTAATTTATTTTATAATTTGAACTTTGTACCTCTTTACCTTCACCTATTTCACCCATCCCCCCACAGTGTTGTCAACAGTCTGTTGTCAGCATTTATGGATCAATCTCTTTTTTGCTTGTTTGTCAAAACTATTTCTAAGTGTTTTTAAATCTCCCTTTGATAGTAATCCGAGAAAGTTACAAATTGCAACAGACTTTCTTTTAATTATGTCAAAATAAGATAAACAAAAGTGATATAATCATCACAATTGGCATTACATTGTTGCTTTTACCATAATCTTTTATTTTCCATGCCTTTATTGTTGCAATTTTATATTCTAATACTACAATAATTTGCCTCAGCTTTACCAAAATGAAGCTTTGTTTTCTATGTGTCAGCATTAACCTGAAGCTAATCATTGACTTTGGGTGTTGGCAAAAGATGATTTATTTTCAGGATAAGTTAATAATATCAAAAACAACACTGTTATGCTCTGTCACCCACCAAAATACTCTGGAGTGAGAAAAGAAAATTCAGGTGGTTAACTGACCTTGTACCCTTTAACTGTCAAATGAATTCCGTAATGGCAACTCAGAAATCCAATTTAGTAATCCTGAGAAACTCCCTCCTACTCCAGATCCCTCCCTGATACTCTCTAAAAGGTTCAAGAAACAGCTATTATAACATTGACATTTAGCTCTAATTTGTAAATCATTTCATACATCCTGTTTGGTACTCTCCTTCAAATCATTCTAGCTTTCCTAGGATGCAGAAGATGTCATCCTTAGCTTACAATTTTTATGTGCTGATATTTTCTGCTGTTTCTTTTTGGCAGAGAAACAAACTGGAAAAACTTATAGACAAGAAATGCCTCAAGTGACAAAAATTATATGTCACCCTTGACACCACTAAACAGCTCCAGATCCCTGAAATGTGGCACATATTTTCCCACAGGAAGATCCTCCTAACACCCAGTTCTAATGCCCAGTTTATATTTGTACCTTATCTGTAGCCAATGTGTAAACTCCATCTCTGACTAACAAACCAGGCAAGATCTGCAAAACTGATTTGTAAATGAGGAAACTGCTCAACAGAGTTCTAGAGTTCATGATGGTAAGAGTGATGCCTTTGTGGAAAATATGAAGCATATCACAGATCTCAACTGAAAATTGCACCTTGAGCCAGCTGAACTAATCTCAAGGTGTGCTAGTTGACAGGGAAGTTGAAGTAAGAACTTTTGCAGAGGCTTTTGTCTCCACCTATCAACCAAAGTGACTTTTGTGAGCATTTATTGAGAAACTAGAGCTTGGGTCAGCAACACGAAGGCAGGGCCAAGCAGAAACAGCTCCAGAGTCAAACCTTCTGTCTTAAATGACAACAATTTTCAGGTGAATTTTCAAATAAAATCATCTGACTACATCCACTGTTGTTCCACTACACTCTCTCTTCAACAAACTAAATGTTGAGAAACAAACTAGAATGTTTAGAAATATAAACATGGAATATATCTCCTTTTCAGAGTTTTTTTTTTTAAGCTCAAGAGCTTTGCATAATATCCTATGCATGCCAAATGATTTGTAAAAAGTAAAACGTAAGTGATATCTGCAAATAAGTACATTGCCAAATTATGTTACCTGCTAAACCTTTCTAGTAGTTTATTTATCACCAAAATCAAAATGAGTGAGATTTGCTGCTTTCCTCGGATTATTTTCTTTACTTCAGTAATGGTTTCAGAGCAAATGGAGTAATTTAGTTTTACTTTGGATATTTTGAGATTTGTTTGAAGACCTGCTGTATCCTTTTACAAAAACTACCTGTGGACCAATCCTAGCTTCAAGTTAATTTCACTGACGCCAAGAATCCAGGGCTGCATCGAGCAGAAGGAGGGCTGAGGCACGGAAGCAACGTGTAAGATAGCAATCATCGGGTCTATTAAAGTGGTTCCAAGACGTTCAGCCCAGCACTCAGGATTCACAATAATTCCCGGTGTTAGCGCTTGCTAAACGACAAATTGATGGGGCAGAAGGTGGTGAGGAAAATGACCCTGGAAGCTGAGTGTTGGTTTTACACCCGCTGGGTATCTGTTACAAGTGAATTTCCTCTGGCGCCAGCAGGTATTTTAAGCAGGCATCCAGAGAGATCCCAGAGGAGAAGGATGGGAGTGGGGGAGATGGAGCCTGAGTTTGAGAATCAAAGCTTTAAAGATTCCGGAGGAAATAGGAAAGATCCGGATTGACTGGCCCAAAGGCTTCAAGACAGATACAGAAGATATTTCAAAGTTCTGAGGCTTAGAGTAGCAGGGGAAGGGGGTAGAAAGGCAGGGAGTAAACAAGATCCAAGAGAAGAGATCGTCACAACAGGCCTTGGAGGTAAAATTACAGACAAGCCCTCGAGGAAGAGAGTCTGTACCCTCGCTCTTTTTCCTAGAGACCACAGAAGGCAATTCCAGCCAACAGCCCGTGCCAGCGGGCAGGGGCTGGGCTGCGACCGCTCCCGGTGGCCCCAAGTCGCCGGGAGGGGAGGCGGAGGCTCCCCCCGCAGGCCGGTGCGCGCAGAGGGCACAGCGTCTTCCCTGGAGGTCTCGGAGGCAGAGCCATTAAAGCCCCGCGGCCCGCTGTCGAGTTAAGTAAAAGTGACTGCGATTTATTTGGATTAGTCACTATAAAGGCTGGGAGACAGCTATTTATCCGATGTGGGACCTTGACAAATGGACCGGGCAGTGCAAGAGTGCAGTCCCTCTGACCCTGGGCCGTGCTGGGGCGGAAAGCAGGACCCTCCCACCTGCTCCGGACCCAGGTCCCAGAAGCAGGAGAGGCGCGTCTCCCTCCACCTGCTGACTCCCGGCGGCTGCCCTGCCGGACCAGACCACCAACGTGCCCCCTCCTGGTTGCAGAGGTTTCAGCTGCCGCCTCCAAGTCCTTCAGGAGAAATATCCGCTCACAATTCCGCAGCACCTTCTCCCCACTTTTCCAGGTTCCGAGAAGGTCACCAGACCGGGTTGCCCTGCAGGTGACCCAGTCCTGAGCCCACACTGGAGGGTCCACCTTGTTAAAAAAAAAAAACTTGGTCTGGCAGCTTCCGGTCATATATCAGAAAGGTCGTTTAGAAGTCTTT